TCCTTACCTGCTTCATACTCAGTCCCTTGAACCATTCTCATGTCAACAAATGACAAGTTGACTGTGGACTCTGTAATCTCACAAGTCCTCATAGAGGAGAGGACATGCCAGGGCTCACAGGGTCACTCAGCCCTCACAGCCAGAACTGGTGTGAAGTCAAAGTCTAAAGAGAAAGGGAAGGAAAAGTTGAAGATAAAGTGCTACAACTGCAAGGAGGTTGGGCATATGAAGAACAACTGCCCAAGCCTGAAAAAGAAGGCAGATGATGAGAAGACTCCATCCTTGTCAGAGAAGAAAGAGAAGGGAGCAGACAAGGCCAACCTCACAGTGAAGGTTGCCCAGGTAGTTGAGGATCCAGCTCTTTGGCTGTTCATGGCATGCATGAGTCCAGAAACCAGCCCCTCAGAGTGGGTGGTAGACTCAGGTGCATCAGCACATATGTGCTGCCAGTGGTGGTGGTTCACCACATTTAGGGTCTTGGAACCATCACAACCAGTCATTATTGGTGATGGGAGATCCATCATGGCAGTAGGGAAGGGCCAGATTGAACTCAACATGCAGGGGACTGGTAGTGGGGGTGGACAAACTATTCTACAGGACATCTACTATGTTCTGGCCTTGGACACAAATCTGGTGTTGGTTCCATCCCTCATGTCTAGAGGTCTCCAGGTGATGTTTGAAGGAAATGTCTGCAAGGTGCTTTCAGGAAACAAGGTTGCAGCAGTTGCAGAGAAATGCAAGTTGTTGTATGTCCTGGACACAACAGTGGTCTCAGGCAGTCACTCTGCTTATATAGTCAGTGACCCAGAAAGACTTGATGCATCAGAACCACTTACAGCCCTTGCAAGCTTTGTTGTCACATCAAAGGCATCTCTCGCCACCTGGCACTGCTGCCTTGGACATTTGAACATCAGGAATGTACTGAAATTGCTGGATAAGGATATGGTTGCTGGGATGGAGATAGCAGGACCTTGCAGTCATGAGACCCATAGCTGAAAGGGTTGTCTTGAAGGGAAGCAACATCAGAATCCTATACCACAAAGGTCAGACATGGAGAACCCAAAGGTTCTGCATCGGACATACTCAGATGTCTGTGGTCCAATGGAAACTCTTGTGCATACTGGACACAGGTACTTTGTAACTTTCATTGATGGAAGGTCACACCATCTTGTGGTCAAACTACTGAAGTCAAAGGATGAGGTCCTTGGAATGACCAAAGAATACTTTGCATGAGCTGAAGCTGAAACTGGGGAGAAGGCAAACTACCTTTGGACAGATGGTGGAGGCAAGTATTGCTCACAAGAGTTTGATGCCTACTTGAAGTCAAAAGGAGTGCATCATGAAAAAACCAATGCATACACACCTCAGGAAAATGGAGTGTCAGAGTGCATGAACCATACCTTGGTTGAATGTGTGAGGGCCATGCTAAGTGATGCTGGACTCCCCAACAAGTATTGGGGAGATGCTATACTACATGCAACCCATATTCTAAACTGACTGCCTACACAAGCTATCCAACAGCAAGTAACTCCATATGAGGCCTACACTGGAAATAAACTGACCATCTCCCATTTGTGGGTCTTTGGATGTGTTGCCCATGTTCATGTTCCAGAGGAAAAACATCAGAAACTTGATGCAAAATCACTTGAATGTACTCACCTCAGGTTCATGGAAAATTGCAAGGCCTATGTGTGCCTGCACCAAGCAAGTGGTCAAATCATCAAGTTTTGGGATGTTGTGTTTGATGAGGGTGACAGCAAACAGCCTACTCATGTTGCATTTGGTCAGAGTGAGCTGGTAGCAAAGGAAATGGTGCAGTCAGTCACAAACATGCAGACAACTGGTGGGCAAGTGCAACTTACCACACAGGAGGATGAGGGAGGCTCAGACAAGGTAGGGGAAGTGACAGATTGACCCCAAGTTGATTCTACAGGTCCAGCATGGTAGTCTGATGCCACAGGGAGCCAGGGAGGTGCTTCAATGGGTCATGATCAAGGACAATCAATGCTCAAGCCCACAGAGGCTGAAAATGAGCCAAGTCAGGCAGATGAGCAAAGTTCTGGGGTAGAAATGCCTAGAACTCACCCAGAAATCTTCCAGAGGGCAAATCGAACGATGGAAAGACATCCTACAATGTCCAGAGGTCCTCCAGTGACATATCCACAGCCAGTACCACCTGCTGAGGTCAGGAGATCCTCTAGGGCCAGAAAGGCTCCAGTTCAAGATGATGACCCAAGATATTTTGTCAATGCTTACCAGAGGTCAATGTTGATGAGGGAAAAGGGCCAGGGGAATGCTGAGAGAGATGATGGAAGGGCAGAGGTTCATGGTGGGGGTGTGGCCGAGTGCGAGGTTGAGGTGTGGCAGTCAGGCAAAAGTGCTGACTCAAATCAACAAGACCACACAGCTTACCAAGCAAATTCTGCATGTGACAACAAGCCTACAATGTTCAAGGACACTGTAAATTGCCCTGATGGCAATTGTTGGTATGCAGCAATGGCAGATGAGCTGAATATGTTTCAGAAGCTCAGGCTGTATGAGGAGGTTGAATGGCCCTCAGATCAAAAGATCATCAATTCAAAATGGGTATACAAAGTAAAGTGAGGACTGACAGGTGACATCAAGAAGTACTAGGCACATCTCATTGCTAGAGGGTTCACTCAAGTTCACAGAGTGGACTATACTGATATGTTTGCCCCTGCTGCAAAGTTTACTACTATTTGAATCTTGCTCACTCTCACAGCCAAGTATGACCTCGAGTTACACCAAATGGATGTCAAGTCAGCCTTCCTGAATGGAAAACTGGATGAAGAAGTCTTCCTTCGACCTCCTCCCAGGTTCCATACATCTGCAGATGTAGTTTGGCACCTTCACTGTGCTCTTTACAGCCTAAAAAAAGCTCCAAAGGCTTGGTATACCTGCTTGAGGGAAGTTTTCAAAGCCCTAGGCTTTGTACACAGCAATGCAGACCACAGTTTGTTCTACAAATTCAAAAGTGGAGTTCTGATTATAGTCACTGTCTATGTGGATGATAAACTTATCTTGTCAAAGAGTCATGATGCTATTGACCAGCTCAAGACTCAGCTCTCCTCAGAGTATGACCTATCAGATTTGGGCGATCTTAGGAATGGAGATCATCCAAGACCATGATAAAGGAGAAATCGAGCTCTCACAGGAAAGATATGTCAAGTCTATACTCTGGCACTTCAGGTTGCAGGATATGTGCCCTGTGGGTACACCTATTGAACCCAGTGTTGGAACATAAAATGCCCCTGTGGTACTTGACCACTGTGTGATGTTTTGGCTGCTTACATGAGCTGAAATAGCACACATACTTGTAGTATTTTCTACTAGTATTCCCTCAGTAGTTTGTTCACTACTGAGGTAGCCTACAGATATTTCTACACCCAGTCTCAAACTTGAGAAACTTGATCAGGCCAAGTTGGATGTTGCATGCTATCAGAGTGCTCTTGGAGCCCTGATGTATTCTATGTTGGCTACTTGCCCTGATCTTGCCTATGCAGTGGGCATCCTTAGTAGGCATGCAGCAACTCTGGGTGAGTGCCACTGGGTGGCCCTCAAAAGAGTCTACCACTACCTTCATGGGACTGCTACCTTGCATCTCTGCTATTCTGCAGCATCAGGACCCACTCCAGCTGGGTATGCTGATGCAGACTGGGCATCTGATGTAAATGATTGACCTTCTATCACTGGCTATGCTTTCATCCTATGTGGTGGTCCAGTGAGCTGGTCATCAAAGAAGCAAACCTCTGTTGCTCTTTCAAGCATTGAGGCTGAGCATATGCTATTTTGGCAGCTGCAAAAAAAGCTATTTGGATCTGCACACTGCTTGGTGAAATAGACATGGCTGCATGAACTGACCCCACCCCTCTCCATGTCAACAATCAATCAGCAATTTTGTTGGTGAAAAATGTGATGTTTCATGACCATATGAAACACATTTCCATTTGCCATCACTTCATTCAAGAGAAGATCAAGTCAGGGGACATCTCCATGGTGTACTTGCCTACAAACATGCAGCTGGTGGATGTCTTAACCAAAGGACTCTCTAGAGATAAGCACACTCATTTTTCTATTGGCTTAGGGGTTACTTATTGAGATATTCACTGTTGAGTGGGTGTGTTGATGCACATTAATTATATTTCTTACACTGGTAATATCTTACATAAGCACAGTCATTTCAGCACATTGTTTTTCCTTCATGCACCTTAGTCTTCTCCCAATAGAAGCCCAAGTATCTTCTCTTGTTAGTCTGTCACTACTCAGAAACACCCCTTCAGAAGTGTCCTCTACTTGGGGTGTCAGATCAAGGCAGCCACTGTACACCTGAAGCAGACTGCCAATATCACAAGATGGCCTGTGCATTGGTTTGCAAACATGGCATTGGACTTGGTAGGCTTTGAATCAATTTTTCACAGCATGGGACTGATACATATTGATTCAGAATCAGCTTAATAGCTTTATTCTGGTAATGGTGTCATGTGCAAGTTTTACTCCTCCCCTCCCAGCATGCTACCATGTGTACCTCAGGCACCAAGATGACAAGGTCAGCTTCCACAATCAAATGCAACTTATTCCCCTTAGCACATTCTCCATCATTAACCATATCAGCACAATCATCCCACATTGGACCCAGCATGCAGCTGATCCCCATTCTGGCTTTACAACCCCTTGGTGGCTGTATTGTTCAGATGAATACCAAGCAGATTCTCAACTATTACAAAGCAAGGGGTTGTTTTCTGCAGCCTGGGATTTTTTCAAGGTATGCTGCTTATACTCATCACTGCAAACAGTTGATGATGGCCCAGGGCTTATGGCCATTGCCTGAGGTGCCAATCACAGACTGTCTCAATGGCCATTTGGATGAGCAGATCAACTACTGCATTGAAGACATTCAGAAATATGCCAATCTTGTTGACACTCAGGGTCAAGAAATCAACCATTTCTATGCTAGGTGGTGGGCATTCCACCTCAATAGTTTACCTGTTTGCCAGGCATGCTCTGTCCCTGTCTACAGTGCCCACCCCATGTTCCAATGCTGAGCCTGAAAATGTGATGATCATCCTGGGGTTGTAGCACAGCCACAGATCCAATGTTGGAATGAAGTCCAAGGGTGGGTAGTCTCCCACAGTTACAAGCATGTCATACCACAGATCCTGTCCATTGATATCCCTGTGATAACAAGATGCCTGATTCACCATCATGGACATGCTGCTATATGTGGAGCTCCATATTGGCAGTATGGAGGTCATATCTGAATCTGCCCACTGTTCCACCTGTTTGCCAAGGCAGATCAAAGCTTCCCTGCCATCTGCATACACTTGTGGATGAATGACATGCAGGATTGCAGATAACAGGGCATTCATGTTGGACATTTGGTTGACCCATTCCCTTGCAGAAGTGTTTGCTGTCCTGGATTTGAGCAGCCATGAGACCTCTGGGAAGCCATTTTGGGGCTTCATGATGATGAGTGCTTTATTCACAAGGTGGGAACTGATTACCCACCTCATGACCCTGTTGAAACCACATGGGTGACAGGTTGATGGAGCCTTTCAATTCAGCATTACCACAGAAATATGACTTGTCAATCCACCATGCCTGTGGGGAAGCCTTTATGCTCTCCTGAAGTGGTTCCCTCAGAAGATGAAGGTGGTTCCATATGTCAGCCTGCCATTCCATTCAGTCAGTAAAATAGGATATTCTGCATTCCCTTACCCTTCATTTTGGGCTGAGAGCATCCAGCAAATACCAAACATGGATGGTGTTTGAGTTGGTCACCAGAATGGATGGCTCAGTCACTTCTGTGTATCTCTCAGCAGCTTCTGCATTGGAGGTTTTCCACCCCAGTTTGTCCCAACATTGACTGTGGAAAGATGAAAACTATTGGACCATTATGATGGACTTACTTGGGTGATGATAGGCCTGCAAGATTCCTGATGATATGTGATCCACTTCACATAACAGTGGAAACAGAATCAATATATCTGGAAGGGCACGAGGTCCACTGAATTCCTTTTCTTGTAATCTGGCTTTCATGTATGCTGTGATGCAGTCTGTTAGTTCCATTCACCATCCATGGGGTGTTGTAGATGTGTCTTGTGCAGTATTCATGCTTGGGACAGATGAGGTGGGAGTTATATAGTGGGCAAGCTGCTTGCAGCTTGTTGGAAAATTATGGCATGTTGGGAAGGCCTGTCTTATGTTGCGACAGGGGTGCATCTTACTAGAGGGGCCTGCCCATGTGTTGTGATGATATAAATGATATTACTGACAGGCCCATCCATATGTTGTGATGATATAAATGAT